GCCATTACAGTGCGTCTGCCATGACATTCAATTATGAATCTTCAAACCTCCTGCTGACATTTCTTTAGGAGTGTGGTGTAGTTGATGAGCATGATTAGCTTGTTCCAGGATTTAGAAACATCTTATCCTCTGCAGAACCCTAAGACTATGTTAGAGCAAGTCGAGCCATTGCCTTTTCCTCTATTAAGATGAAGAAGGCCGAGTTCCGAGCATAGGGATTCGGGTGCAGCAGGACAAGACATCTGGCCATTGTATCCGAATCGCGCTCCTTGCGATTGCCACTCCTGCATGGACCGGTGCCCTAACGACATGGCACATGGCATGCTGGATCTTAGGCTTTCACTTCATAGGCCCTCTCATACTAGAAACGAACAACTGCTAAGAGACGGAAGGTCTGTGTCCTCTTGTTTTAAGGTTGATTCGGGTCAAAGTTTGTTACGATGAAAGCTGCTGTGTACTATACTGACAGAACATGAAACATTGTGCGATTGGACTTGTGACATAATACAAGTGGAATTTGAAGAGATCTATCGTGCTGGCAGCGTCAAAGGATAAGTACGGGGCTTGACAGGCTCAGTATCAAACCTGAAAAGAAAACGAGTGCTAAAATGCGTCTGAGCATGAAGAAATCCAACAGCAACAAAGAGCAGCACTGGCCTGGCTGATGAAGTGAGAAAATTCGACCTCTGCCACAATAATGCCTGCAAGGCAGCTTCGGCACGAATCTAGACTTCCTCGCCGGTAGCCCTCCTTGTCACCCAATGCTTGTATCACGTCCATGCCCCAACATCCTTCCTACCTTCAGAAGCTCCAAGCTTGTCAAGTTCCAATCACCAACGCATCTGTCCCTGTGATTCCAGCTGGAGAGCCCCTCCTTCCTGCACTATCGGATCATCCACTGCCTGAGGGGACGTCGTGGTAGCTGCATGTTCAACACAATTCTCTTACGATTTCCGACCACTACGCACAGATTGGGTCTTCACAACGGACATGCGCACTGTAATTGGCAACATCTCGGTCTCAGCGCTGCAGGTGTCATTGATTCCCCATCATCCATGCAATCACATTCACGCACACAGTACAAGTAGCCGCCCACCATACCTCGGACCCCATCACCACTGTACGACGATAGAACACCTTGTCAAACTCTCATGTTCTCCTACATGTATGCGCAGCAACTTTTGATGATCACTACTGTTGTTACGCCCACTTCCTTCATCACGATCCGACATCCCCCCCACCCATGCTGCATTTGCCCTGAGCAGGGCCAGGTAGCTCTGGGATTATGGGAGTGTTATATGATGTACTAAGGAAAAGGTGGTCACACTAGGTTGGTGGTGCACCGGCGAGGCCCAGGCCAAGTCTGCAGCCCACCCTCTGCGTTTTCACGTCTTCCCTCCATGCGTGCTTCGACGTGAAGCCAACCTTTCTGATTAGTTTCTACTAGCGATATATGCATCCAGCAAATGACTACGACCTGGCCATGAATGGTAACACCGCCGCATCACAAACCAAGTCTTCCTTCGCTAATTTTATCGACATCAAATACTCGTCACAGCCAACCCAAGTTTCCATGTCCAACCTACCAAACATCACAGCGATATCTTACAGCTACGATGGCTCTCCTTGGTCTCGTGATGGTTCCAGTTCCCATTTTCTGATCCGCCGACGACTGAATGGACATCCCATGTCTTTCATGTACACGAATACTTTTATGTCCTCTCTCACCGTGAGAGCGTATATGCCACTTGGACTCAAGCCGATTGTTATGAGGTATATTTGCTCTCCCCATCCTAGGCCCCTACCCCGGAACGTGATCCCTTTTATCGGGGATAGGTCATCTCCAAAACGTTCTTCGACTTGCGCAGGGCCTCAGGAGATGCATCAACACTTGGAGAAGGTCCCCGCATAAACTGGCGGCATCTTCCTTCCAAGGTTTCAGTGGTACACCGACGGTTTGATAATCGAATTCTTTCCAAAACTACCATGCATCTTTCAACGGATTTGGATTTAGACACTAGATGGTCTTTGAATAATATTTGGTCCAGGTGCGGCTCAATACAACTGTCTAGACCTTGAACTTGAACATTTGAGTCATGAGGGAGAACAAAACTGACTGAATTATGAGACCTTAGTAAGAAACAGGTGGTAGCGTGTACGTGTACATATACAACGGCCGCGACTAGTGTTCTCGAGTGGCGAGCGGGTAGCTTCGTCCGAGGCCTAAGGTGGAATGAGACAAGTTTCATTCCATGACTGAACAAGTCAGAGTGAACTGTTAATTGGGAATCATGTATCTCGCATGCCTCCCGGTCGTTCCCACAGCTGGGTGGCGACTATTTTGGGCGAGTCAAAATAGAATCAAAGTGCAAAATGTCGGATTTTGCCTCAGTCAAAATCTGGGGAATTCCCTAATAAGGAAATATCGAACGATTTTGCCTCACCCAAAATTGGGATCTCGGATTTTGATTCTATTTTGACCACCCCAAAATAGTCGCCACCCAGCTGTGTCCTTCCCTTCATAGTTTGGTTCTCCAACAAAGTAGAATGAGACCTAATGAGACAGTCACGAGGCTGACAAAGCATGAAACTTGGCTTCTCGCATTACTAGTCTGCTACTTGCTCGGAGAAAACACACGAGCCGCTCGCGAGATCGGTGACCGTGCAGGTGACAAGTGAGCGAGCGAGGGCGAAATGACGCGTCGTCGGAGTTTGAAACCGGATCACCGCCTAACTAACCCTAGCCGAGGTGACCCGAGCTGGCGACGGAGCGATCGGTCCCCGCGAGTCCGACTGAGAAACGCTGACTCGGAAAGCAAGGTATCGTAGACGTCAGCCGACGACCATCTGCCCAAGAATGTCGATCATAGGTAGGTAGGTGGTATTACATGACAGTCCCATGACTCGATGTAGCCTACATCAAGTGATTTATATATATACATCAGTTTATAACTCAAGTCGACACTTATTTCCTCAATGTTCAATAACATTGGAGAAGTAATATGTCGAAGACAGCGCTATTTACCAGCCTACCCAGCTATCCATTGATCAGCGGCCGGTACAGACCAGCACCGCCTTTGAAGTTTCTGATACATTCCGAATACGAAGGAAATCACAACATGTAACAGTCCATATACTTACACCTTTTTACCAAAGGACCGTCAATATCATGTTTCGCTTCGCACACAAAGTTCGAAATGTAGACTTACAGTTCAAAGTCTCGATAAATACTCTACCAGGTACTCATAGTCGGACGAATCAAATCCATAGATAGAGTCGATAGCAACGTCGGAATCGTAATAATCTTCCTCGTCATGATCTGACCGGTCAAAGAGTTTTTTCGTAGGAAGCGGATAGAGCAAACCGGGAGGAAGATCTGTTGTTTCAACGTGAATACGCTCATCCTGAGAACCAAGGGACGCAAGCAACATGCGGCGACGATGTCGTGCCGTTACTTCGATAGAAAATTTGGTACATCCATAATCCTGGACAGCTAGCCGCGCTAGGCGTACCCACTGGGACATGCCACTGGCTCGACTTCGGCATGACTTGTCACTGAGTAAGATAGACGACAGATGAGGAAAAGGTAAGGATACTGTTTTGTAGTGTATTGCAAACCCCTCCACATCTTTCAAGTTGTCCACCAGTTCCAAACGATTTAACGATATCAAAGAGCGGAAGAACTCGGCATCAGTAGGTGATACGGAGCACCGCTGCAAACGCAGTGTTTGCAATTTCAGTAGGTCTGTGAAGTGGCTGCCGAGATTAGGATTGTAGGAAGACTTGTCGCCTAGAACCTCGAGATATTCGAGGTTCGGAAAGCGAAGAGAGCCTAGGACACATGAACAATTCCCCAGTGCATGCAAAAACTTGTGATGGGTGTAATCAAGTTGAACTGCGAGCGATCGCAGCGAGTTGGAGGCTAATACGATGGGTTGATTCTCCCTCTGGCTTCCACTCCAATTCTGACTAAATTTCGGCAGGATGAGTGTTTCGAGAGACGGGAAGCACATGAGTATAATCCGCATGTCTTCATGTCGAAGAGATGTGAGCTCGAGTTTGGTAAGGTGGGAGATTGATGCTGTGTTTAAGGGTGAGCCTTCACGCCCATTAGAACGGAATGAGTAAATGGAATCAAGTAAGAGGGGAGCGCCTCGCGGCGATCCTTGGACATCAATGGAAAGGCTAACGAGATGCGGAGTTGACATCGGCCGGTACAATACAGAAAAGAATTCGGCACCCTGGGTGTCGCTGACACTCAGCGAAAGTGTCCTCGTACGCACAAGATGGACCGATGTCAACTCCGCAACTCGAAATCCAGATGATCGACTGAAAGTAGCCGGCCCAGTCATCCGGAACCCACCTCGACCAAAGATGACTTGGACGTCAACATCCAGAAGTCGGGTCTTTGATCGTTCAAGGAAGAGTTCGGCAGGTGGTATATGGCTTTGATCATGTATATAAATGGTGGTCCAAAGTTCAGATGCCTCAATAGCAACATCCCGCCAACGACGACAGATGCTGCACAGTACAGCAAGGAAGGGGCTGTGCTCTATTGGAAACAGGCTGTTAATCACAGTGGCAAAGATGTAGGCGAGAAGTTCGTTGGGTAAACACTCGTTGATTCTGTTGGTCGCAGTCGATCTGGCTGCTCCTTGTCTGATTTTGTTGCAGGAAGGCTAATAATCAGGTAAGCGAATGAAGAACCCAAGAGGACATGTATTATACCTCTGAATTTGGTGCCTTCGGGACCGTGTATCGTTTCTTTCCTTTAGTTTTCTTCTGTATCATAGCAGTCGATCGATGGGAGGGCAGGACAAACGACGGGAAGTGTGACAGTTTGCGTTACTCGTGTTAAGCTGCTGGGAACTGTTAGGAATCGTCTGCCCGTTAGGAAGACCAGAAGACCAGCTGATGTAACTCACTGCATTGGCAGTAAATAAGTGTAAACTAATCTACGCCGTGCCCTAATCTTGCTGTTTCGTAGCCGCAGTCCACCCATGAATCAGTGGCCGTGGGTAAATATCTATAACAAAGCCGGCTTACCTGAAACGCTGGTTACAAAAAATTGGAAGAATACCACCAGTCCCTCAGGCTTCCTCTGCTGGAAAGGGGAGTCCCAACCAGGAATCATGGTGGTCAACCGACGATATTTAGCTGCGCGGCACCGGTTTACATCGGTCCGAAGTGCACCTGACCGTTTCACAGCCACCTATACAACTGCCAAATTCAGAACCAAGTGTCTGTCTCACTTTCTTGCTTCTGGTGAAAGTGACGTTTACGACTCTATCAAGTCAATATTGCTGCCGCCTCATTTCATCTCGGGATGTTGCACTGTAGGACTGCCTCCACCTCAAGAAAGGGCCCTGAAACCCCCATCGAATCTCAAACACCGACCGTTGGTAGAGGATGATATCCGAACAGATGGACAGAGCATAGGATTCTCATGTGTGAATGAAGATTTATGGTGTAATGCGAAGTGTAATGATAAGGGTACGAAGCACAAGGAGACAAGCTCATGCCGAAGAGGATACCGGACGAACGTGCGTGTTCTTTACCATCATCTCTGATTCTGTGGTTCAAGTACTAGTACTTTTTCAGTGTTCACGGGAAAGGACATTCACTAGAGAAACAGACCTGTGTGAGGAGATTGGTCACATTGTTATGTGATCTCTGAGAGACAGGTCGCCTTGAGGTGGTTCCCTCTTCAGCTTCCCTGGCGTGCCCATTCGCAGTCGGAGGCAATGGTCGGTAAATTCTCGGAATGGTTTTCATCCCTCTCATTCTTGGGATTCTAGGCCTTAAAGAGCGTTTTCTTGAGGCTAAATGTCATCCTGAAAGAAAAAAACTCGTCGTGATAGCTACATGACCTAGCTTCCTTTCTTCGTACTGGAGCCGCCCTTCTCGTAGACATCTCCTTGGTGAGTGGAGCCTTGCACGATCATGTACGAAAGTTATGTGATGAAGGTGTAAATCCTCCATTCATAGCTCGACTACCAAGCTTATTTGGTTTCGGAAGCAGTCAATACCACCCAGGACACAATCCAAGGAGATAGGAAGCCGACTACGACAACGGACATGCTACCAATTATACCAGTTCTGTGAATGGTAACGTTTCAGTTGTATGATGAATCTCTTTCTCATCCTTCTTCCTTAGCTCTGCGCAGACATCAACTTGGAATCGATCGTGTTGGAACGACAAGAAAGTACATCGGTCCGGATACTTCCGTCTATCATTATCGCCCACCAGTCTTTTGGCTCGTCGATTATCAGAATTCTACCCCCACCCCCACCAATTTATGTCACAGCGCTATTCCTGCACCGGACACCTTACCGGCTTCTCACAACAACTGATCATGATCCCCGTTCCCCGTTGTATCATCTGCCTCAATCTTACTCCCGATCGAACCGATAGAGGAATTGTGCATTGTTAGGATGCAAAGGCCTACCCAAATCGTAGACCCTTACGATGATCGGAACCGTTTATCTCTTCTAAATGAATTGCGAGATCTTTCTCAGGCTTTCAGGGTAGGAGAGAAGATATCCACGCACGTGGGTGTCCTATTTTTCAACCCAAAGATCTGAGCTTTTCTCCGTCATACCGCCGAAGCCCGTTCGCTCTCTTCCCTAACCCCAGAATGTGATGCTACTAGAACATCACTCCGCCTACAAAATCTTGCGCAGAGAGGAAGTCGGGCCGTCGCCGAACATTGGACCCTTTTACTTACGTTGTGGTAGAGCGAGTCCCGCCGTCACGAAACCATTCATACTCTTTTTCCTCCATTGAGATGGGGAAGGCTGGATCTGCCGACGACTAAATCATATTTCTCGCGTCCCGCTTCCCAGAAGAATACACGTGGTTGGCGATATATGCATTCAAGAAACGACTTCTCGCAATCAGGAAAACAACGCCATGACAGCAACGTGAGTGGTAGCGTCTCCGCTGCACCATGATCCTCTCCTTCTGCCACACCATGTACTCGTCACAACTAATCCAATCTACTATATGGAACGCCATCTTACAGCTACGGACGTAGCATACAGCTCTCCTTGGGCTTGCGATGGTTCCCACTTTCGGATCTGCCGACAATCGAACAATCACCTTCCCCACGCGTCCTCCTGCGAGAGAAGAGTGCATGTGCATGTAGACCCGAGCCGGAACATGTTACGACTCTCTCCGTCCTAGGCCCCTCCACCCCAGAACGTGATCCTCTTCGCGGGGGTAGATCACATTTTTCGACTCTCGTACGACTGTGCAAGGTCCTTGTACGTAGAGGAGAGTCGCTATGAACAACACAAGACGTGTCTTCTGATGAATGAGGGGTAGAAAGGACCTCAAGTGATCTAGGTCGATTATCAGCCGGTCCGCGTCTACACGTTGAACGAGACTCGGTTTCTCTTCTTTGTTGTGGAGCTATCCTTCTTACTTCCAGAGTGGAGCCTCGCACGATACGCAAAGGCAGGTCTTGTCCTCCATATATAGTTCCGATTGCAAACTTCTCGGAATGGCAAGCAAACGGGAAGTCGCCTACGATAACGGGCGTGAGACGACTCGACTGTGCCGGGACAGTGAATAGTACGGTACTGTCTCCCCTGCCTCAGGTTCTCTTGCTGATTCTCTTCTTTCTTTCACAGTCGACGTCGTTGGTTATCCCTTTGATCGTCGCCCCTTGCTTCATACACTGCGATCTACGTGGAATGTACGACTCTTCCTGAACTTCAAGTTGCCGACGATCGAACAAACATGAATTTTCTCCCACACGCGAAGACCGGAAGACGCGCGTGTTTCTCGAGATGTCGTCATGAATAAATTGTGAGATCCTAGGAAGTAGAGAGAGGACATCTATACACGTGGCTGGTCTATGCTTTTTGACCAGCTGTTTCTTACCCGCGCAATCTCCCACCCCTCTCCCTCTTCGCGGGTAGATCACAACTCACACCACCTCCAAAAACGTTCTTCAACTCTGTAGCCCCGAGTCGCGCCATCAGGAAAGCGTGTGACTATCATGGACGCTTCCTCTCCTCCGTTGAGGTGGAGAAAGGACAAGTTACGGGCGCAAGGACTAGGCCCTTCCTTGCCATGCTGTTTGTCAGGATACAAAATCAGGTTCGCCCACTGTGAGGTTAACAAAAATGTCCTCCTGCAGTACACCCTATTCCGTGGTGCGTTGGCTAGAAGGAAGGAAGTAGAACCGTGGGCCGTTTATAGAAGGAGGCGTGCCGTTGCCCTTCCCTCCTTTGAGATGGAGAACGCCGAGTTCCGAGCATAGGGATTCCGGCGCCGTGGCACAGGACACGACATCCGAATCGCGATCGCAACTCCTACGCTTCGGAAGACGAACTGGTGCCCTACGATATGGCACCTTGTTTGTTGGATCTTAGGCTTTCGCTTCATCGCAGGGTAGAGGATATGTGCGATAACGCGGGAAGGCAGGATTTTCGTAACCTCGTGCGCAAGGGTTTGTTTACCGGCGAGTGTTGATCTTCGTCGAGGATTATGGCTCTTACCTGGAACGCGCCTCCAGGTTGGCTTCGTCATGGACTGCGATAGAATAAGCCTCTCGTATTGGGAACGAAGACGACGACATCTACTGGGTGTAGAAGATATTGGTCGTAACCACAGAGATTCGTTTTACTTAAACATGGACCCCACGAAATTACCGCAGTTCCAGGAAATGGCCGGGAAGGAGCGACGAAGATCGGCGCCCTCTTGTTTCGGTGCTGATTCTCGGTCGCTTGAAGTTTGTTACCCGCCTAGACTGATGAAAGCTGCTGTGTTACTATAGCAATAGAAAAAAAGCATCGTTTGTTAAAGGGTGAGGCATATGATCCAAGTACGGGGCCTGACAGGCTCGATATTAAATCGAAAAGAAACGGAGTGCCACAAAGCGTCTGAATCGAACAGAACACGAAGAAATCAACAACACCCAGCAGAACCGGCCGTGGAATAACGAGACTGACTAAGCAAGATGATTCGACCTCCGCCACTGCAAGGCGGCTTCGGCATGAACCTGCCCTAGAACAAGACTTGGTTTGCTGGCGTTACTCGCCCAACCGCGTCACCCAATGCTCGTATCACGTCCACGACCCAACATACTTCCTTCCAGTCACCAAACCTGCATCTGTCCCTGTGGTTCCGGCTAGAGCGCCCCCTCCTTCCTGTACTATCGCCGGATCATCTGCCGCCCGAGGGGAGACGTCGTGGTAGCTGCGCGTTCAACACGACTCTCCTACGCATGTTTCCGACCACTACGCACAGATTAGGCTTTCCGACGATGCACATCGGACATGCGTACTGTAATTGGTTCTCCCTTTGCTTCGTCATCCATGCAATCACATTCACCCTTTGCAAGATCGCTCCTCCTCAACATCAGCCTTGCATCACCACAGCACGACGATGGAACACCTTGTCAAACTCTCATATCCTTCTACATGTATGCGCAGCGACTTTTGATGATCACGACTGTCGCTTCCTTCATCACCTACTCCCAACAGAGCGACCTCTCACCTGGCGTCATCGCCCCCCACCCACGCGACATCTTCCCTTCGTATACGGGATGAAGACTGACGTATTTTGGGCTGACGTGACTGGGGAAAAGTAGACAAAGGTGGTCATGATCCTCTCTCGTGGACGGTCCACCCGTGCGTCCGTCTTCCTTTGCGTCTCCCTGCTCACTGATCGTGGGTTTCCACTCTTCAAGCTTCATTGATCGATGACATCGTGGAGCCAGCTTTTCTCATCCGTACGGTTTCTACTGGCTGGCGATATATGTGCATCCTACGACAACAGCATGAATAGTAACACCGCCCCATGATCCGAGTCTTCCTTTCGCAGGCCGCTAATTTCATCGGCGTTCCCTCCATCACGTACTTGTCACAGCCAACCCAAGCTTTGATGACCAACCTACCGACCTACCAAACAACATCTTACAGCTACGATGACATAACAACTCTCCCCGGTCTCGTGATAGTTCCAGTTCCCACTTTCTGATCCGCCGACGACCGAATGGACATTTCTCAGTAGACCTTCCCACATACGCGAATACTTGAGATGTACGCCACTTAGACCCGAGCCGAGGCATATTCGCTCTTCCCCGTCCCAAGTACTCCCTCTTCTCGGGAATAGGTCACCTCCCAACTTATACTGCCTGTGAGAGTGTGTACACGTCGTTATGAGGCATATTCGCCCTTCCCGTCCTGCTCCCTCGTGATCCTCTTCTTGGGAATCCAACTCTCATGTTTATCTTCTCTCGCCCGGGACATATGAGGTATATTGGCTCTCCTCGTCCTACTCGCTCATGATGACGTCCAGGAATCCACATGAACGCTTGGAGAAGGTCGATCTGCCCCTCAAACCGGTGCTGTTGTACACGAATACCACCGACAGAACATATGAGGTATATTCGCTCTCCCTGTCCTACTCGCTCTCTCCAGGACGTGATCCCGCTCCACACCAACGCTTGGGAAAGGTCGATCTATGCGGAGTCTCCCCCCCTCAATTGTATGGGACCTACGACGCCGATATGAGGTATATTCGCTCTGTCCGTCCTACTCCCTCCACCCCAGAACGTGATCCCTTTTACCGGGGATAAAACGTTCTTCGACTCTCATGTCAACCGTGCAGGACCACAGGACCAACACCAACATTTGGAGAAGGTCCCCGCCTAAACCGGTGGCATCTTCCTTCCCAAGTTTCAGTGGCACATATCGAATTCCTTCTAAACTCACCGGTCACCTTTACTAGTAGACCAATTTGGGATTTAGACGCTAAGATAGAATAGACGGTCTCTGTATGATAAATTCGGTCCAGGTGCGCGGCTCAATACCATACAGCTGTCTAGGCCTTGTCATGAGGGAGGATCATGAGTTTGAAACCCTAGCGTCATGAGGGAGAACGAAACTGAATTATGAGACCCTAGTAAAGGGGGGAAAGAAACGGTGTACGTGTACATCATATCATATACAACGGCCGCGACTAGTGTTCTCGAGCGGCGAGCGGGCAGCTTCGTCCGAGGCGGCGAGGTGGAATGAGACAAGTTTCATCGCATGACTGGGACTAGGACTAGGACTAGGACAAGTTAGAGTGAACTATTACTTGGGAATCA